GGAAGACAGTATGTAGGTTCCTCAAAAAATGAAAACTAGAATTACCATATAATCCAGTAATTCCATTACTGGGTATTTACCCAAAGAATACAAAAGCACTAATTTCAAAAGATATATGTACCCCTATGTTTATAGCAGCATTATTTATAATAGGCAAATTATGGAAGCAACCCAAGCAACCCAACTGATGAATGGATAAATATAAGTGGTATATATACACAATGGAATATTATTCAGCCATAAAAAAGAATGAAATCTTGTCATTTGCAACAACATGGATAGAGCTAGAGAGCATAATGCTAAGTGAGTAAGTCAGTCAAAGACAAATACCATATGATTTCACTCATGTGGAATTTATTAAACAAAACAAACCAACAAAGGGGAAAAAAAAATAGACTCTTAACTATAGAGAACTGGAGGTTACTGGGAGGAGGGAATGAAGGAAATAGGTGATGAGGATTAAAGAATATACTTATTGTGATGAGTGCTGAGTAGTGTATAGGACTGTTGAACCACTATATTGTACACCTGAAATTAATGTAACACTGTATGTTAATTATAATAAAATTTAAAAATTATTAAAATTTTTCCAAAAAATGTATTGTAAAAGCAGGCAGACAGTACATAAACAAATGAGTGTGGCTGTGTTCCAATAAAACCTCTTTAGAGTCACTGAAATTTTAATTTCATGTAATTTTCACACGCTACAAAACAGCAGGATTTTTTCATCTATTTTACATCGTAAATATCATCCTTAGCATCCAAGCTATATAAAAAAAAGGCAATAGGCCAATTTGGCTTGTGGACCATAGTTTGCCAATCCTGCCCTAGAGTTTTAGTAATTGTTTCTTTTTAAAAAAATTTATCATCTTGGGTGGGAGGATGGGTTAGCCTGGTAATGGGTATTGAGGAGGGCACATTCTGCATGGAGCACTGGGTGTTATGCACAAACAATGAATCATGGAACATGACATCTAAAACTAATGATGTAATGTATGGGGATTAACATAAGAATAAAAAAAAATTTATCATCTTTATGGGGCACCTGGGTGGCTTATTAGGTTAAGCGTCTGCCTTCGGCTCAGGTCATGGGATGGGTCCTGGGATGGAGGCCCGCGTTGGGCTCTCTGCTCAATGGGGAGCCTGCTTGTCCCTCTCTCCCTCCCTTTGCCCCTCCCTCCCTTGCTTTCTCTCTTTCTCAAATGAATAAAGTCTTTTTAAAAAATTATCATCTTTAGGTGTGCCTGGACTCAGTCAGTTAAGCATCTGTCTTTGGTTCAGGTCATGATCCTGGGGTCCTGAGATCAAGCCTGTGTTGGGCTCCCTGCTCACTGGGGAGTCTGCTTCTCCCTCTGACCCTCCCTCCACTTGTGTGGGCTCTCTCTCTCTCTCTCTCAAATAAATACAATCTTTAAAAAGTTATCATCTGGGGCGCCTGGGTGGCTCAGTTGGTTAAGCGACTGCCTTTGGCTCAGGTCATGATCCTGGAGTCCCGGGATCGAGTCCCGCATCGGGCTCCCTGCTTGGCAGGGAGTCTGCTTCTCCCTCTGACCCTCCTCCCTCTCATGCTCTCTGTCTCTCATTCTCTCTCTCTCAAATAAATAAATAAAATCTTAAAAAAAAAAAAAGTTATCATCTTTAGAAACTCAATACCTAACAGTTTTAATGACATGTTTTTCTCTTTTTTTGTGCATCATGTTCTCAAACCCTGCTTCTTCCTTTTGAGATCATTTTTCTTCTTACAGAAATATATCCTTTCATCTTCTTTTATTCAGATTAATAGGTAACATTTAAAGGATGCTTATTTACATGCCAGGCACGGGTCTAAGTACATTACATAAAGGAATTTACTTAATCTGTACAATATCCTATGAGATAGATCCTATGAAATGTCCTATCCTATGAAAAGTCTTTATTTCAGCTTCACTCCTGAATAATAGTTTGGCTGGTAAAATAATTCTAGATTTGCAATTATTTCCCCACAGCACTTTATTATTTTTTTTTTAAGATTTTATTTATTTGTCAGAGAGAGAGCACACGTGCAACAGGGGGAGAAGCAGGCAGAGGGAGAAGCAGGCAGAAGGAGAAGCAGGCTCCCTGCTGAACAAGGAGCTGGATGCGGCACTCGATCCCAGGACCCTGGGATCATGACCTGAGCCAAAGGTAGATGCTGAACCAACTGAGCCACCCACTCATCTCTATCCCGCAGCACTTTAAAAATAATTCTGTAAAATGTCAATTTAGTTTTTGTCTCTTTGTAGGTAATCTGACTTTTCTCTCTAAAGGTTTTTGCAGTTTTTTCTTTTTCCTTTATTGTAGGTGTGAATTTTTTTTTAATCCTGTTTGGTCCTCAATGAAATTTTTCAACCTGTGGACTCATATCTTTCTTTAGTCCTGGGAAATTCTCGGCCATTATCTTTTTTTGCATTGCTTTTCCACCATTCTATTATAGGATCTTATAATCCTATCCCCCATGGTTTTTACCTTTTTTATCTTATTCTACCTTTGAATATTGCATTCTGGAATACTTGTTCATTTAATCTTTCATTTCACTAATTTGTTCTTCAGCTCTGCCTAGTTTACTACTGAGCTCATTTTATTTCAAACTTCATCAATCCAGGGATTGCAACTGGTTCTTTTTCATAGCTCCCCCTCTTGTTTTCATGCTTTATCCTGCTTTATCTCTTTGAGGATATAAAAAGTATTTCCCAAGTCCTTTTCAGATTGCACCATTTGCTCTGTTTGCTCAAGAATTTATTCTCTCTCTCTCTGTTGTTTTTTTTTTTTTTTTTTTACATTTTGTGGATCACTCCTGGTGTCTGTGTTCCTTAGATGCTTTGTGATTCTTGGGTTGAGATCATTTGTTGATTTCTCTCATGAGCATCCTGGGTAGTAACACTCTTTGACCTGGCAAGAGGGATAGCTCCCCAGCCTCATTCTTTAGAGTCCTACCCATCACCATAGGATGAGGAGTTCAACAGACTATGCCCAGCTGGAGCTACTCTACTCTTAGAAACCCTGAATTCCTTGAACAAATGGCCCAAGCCTCCTTCCAAAATCTACATGGACCTCTTCCCAGAAGTCAGACTCCCAAGGGCAGACCATATGCTGCTGTTCGTTCACCGTTTTGGTTTTTTTTTAAGATTTTATTTATTTGACAGAGAGAGAGGGAGAAAGAGCATAAGCAGGGGGAGGGGCAGAGGGAGAGGGAGAAGCAGGCTCCCCACTGAGCAGGTTGCCGGATGCGGGACTGATCCCAGGAGCCTGGGATCATGACCTGAGCTGAAGGCAGACGCTTAACTGACTGAGCCACCCAGGCACCCTGTTTGTTCACCCTTAAACCCAAGGGGTAGCCAAGTGGCAGCTGTTTACAGCGATATGTACATAAAGGTTGGAAAAACAAGGTGAGGTAATCACATGCATACATGACAGGCCCCTCATGATGTGGAACAGAGTCAGAGAAAAAGGCAAGTCACAGGCAGCCTCTTCCCTTATTGCCCCATTCCACCAAAGAAGCCCAAGGAATCTAAGAATTTTCAATTTAAAGTTGTCCTTTCAACTTGTTATAAAGATATATTTGTGAAAAATATAGAATTCTACTTAAAATATTTTACTTAAAAGATATTAACTTGATTTATAACTTTTAAATATCTATACATATAGTGTATAGGCCTCCATTTAAACTCCTACTCAGAGCCTCAAAAATGAGGGGGTAGGCCTGACTCAGTGGTTTTTACTGATATTTCAACCTCTGTGTTGGCAGGCACTGGCCTTCAGTCCTACCTATGGGCAGGAGAAAAGTCCTGCTTCCTCTAGTTTCAGGCAGGCAATTCAGATCTGGCTCCCCACCATTTGCAGTGCCTGCTCATCTTCATAGGCTCCCAGCTATTTCTTTCTTTTAGGAAGACATCTCCAATACTAAACTATGGAAATTTTCTTCCTTTTTTTAAAAGTGTGTGTGTGTGTATGGATACACACACACTAATATACACATAACCAATATATATATTCATATATATATACTAACACATATATATATTTAGATCAGGAGGGAAAAGTTTCAGCATATTTTTAATCTGTCTTCTAGGTCTGAAAGTAGAGCCTCTGCTTTCAAGTATGGATGTCAAGAATGCTTCATCTGAATTCGTAAGGTGAGCCAGGAAACATGAATCAAAACTAGAGCTCAGATATGAACATCTTTATTGTCTATGATATAGACTTGACCACAGCAAACCATCACAACTGGGAAACAAAGGTAATCTCATGTTAATAAAAACCATTACAGGGTACCAACTATCTCCACCACCTGGGATGAGCTGGCCTCTCTGGCTCTTCCGTTTCCCAGCTACAATCAAGTGAGTTCAAGAAGCTAATGTCTAGTCATTTCCAAAAGCCCCTTTCCTTATTAATTTTTCTAATTTCACATAATATAGGCCTAGGTCAGATTTTATTGCATTCTAAGAGTGAATTTCTGAGCCTGAACCATATTAGCATTTCAGAGATAACAGCAAAAGAAATCACCCAAATCATCTAATAGGGTATGTAAGAGAGCTTTGATAAATTGCAAGATATTTTGGCAAAGTAAGATAATACTGTTACATATTATAGAATATACATTCAGTATTATACACTCAAAAAAGGTTTATGTGTAAAGAGGGAGTAAGGATTGCTCAATGAAAAGGAATTGATTTACTAGGAAAAACAGTGGGGGCAGAGGGAGGTGAGTCATCAGCAAATAACCACAAAATTAAGCTGAAATAGAACTTCAGCTTCAGGGATAAAGTACAATAAGCCTCCTTGCAATGGAAAGGGTATACTCTCTTTGAACAAAAGTATCAGTAGAAGTATGAGTCTATGAAGTAGCTCTGTTGAGCAAGACATTTTAAATAGCAACACTTTATACCACAGTTGCCTCTGAGCACATCATTTCCAGGAACTCAGTAGCATGCACGGTTATCAGGACAGGCAACCATAAATATTCAAGACAATTACCAACTCACCCCAAGTAAGAGTAGCCAGGGTCAAGAGCTCAGGGATTGAATCCTGACATACTACATATTCTGGAGAATATGGATCAGTTTGAACTTCAGCATCCCGATAATCAGTCTGAGTACCCACAGTGTACTTTGAAGGTACGGAAGGGTACTTAGCAGAAGAAGTAGGAGGGAAAATATATGCCTCTGTCCTAAAAGGGAAAATTATTTTAAAAATTAAAACCTGATCCAATCACTTAGAATACTATACAGTCAAGTAGAAATAAATCCTTATCTTCACTAAGCCCATTCCCCCTTTAAACATGCACAAATTCATGAATCCAGTGTAACCAGGATTGTGCCCAATTATCTTGAGAGAACCGCCTTGTTAGTCTCACCTCTGCCAAGAAACTGAAGGGATATAAAAGCCCAGGTCTACTCACAAAAGTACCTATTTATCTGTGTATCACTGGGCAGGATTGTAGTCTAGAAATGTAGATTCTAGGATGTTATACAGTTACTTCTAAACCTGTTGAGAATTGCTATTTCCTGGTTTCTTTTTTCTCTGCTTTTAGTTATATAACCAAATTTAATTGTTTCCCTCTAGAAATTCAGGAGCAGAGAAAAGAGAAGAGATGCTTCTAATTTTTTAAAAAGGCAAGGCTCTTTTGAGATAGATGACTCAATAATTAATGCTAGGATTACCTGATTAACTACAGAAGTTACCTCATCCCTTGGACCAAAATTCCAGATATTTTAAGGCATTTAATGTAAAAATGAGACTATAAAAGTACTAACAGGAAACATAAGTAAATATACTATCTTTGAGTGAAAGTCTTTTTCAGCATGGCTCAAAAGCCAGAAACTATAAAAGGAAATGAATTAAGTTGAAACTTCTATACCTCAAAGTGTCATGAACAAATTTAAAATATGAATGGCACACTTAGAAATAGGTTTTACAACATATATGATAATAATTAAACACCATTTCTATACAAAAAGCCCTTGTAAATCAATAAGTTAAATACCAACAGAAAACAATTCACAAAAGTGAAAACTAACAAACATATGAAAAAATAATGAACATAACTAGTAATCAAAGTAAAATAAAACCACAAGATTCTATCTTATTATATCACATAAGCAAAGATTTAAAAGATTGAAAATACCCAGCATTGATGAAGTTGTGAAGAAACAGGCATTCTCATAAACTGTTGATTAAAATAAATAGATATAACCTAACAGGTAACTTAGCAATATATATCTGACCTTTACAATACTCTTTTGCCCCAGCAAATGTACTCCTAGGAATTTATTCTAGGAAATAACTGGACAAGTATACAGAGATATATGCAAACACATTCATAAAGTCTGATGTATAAGAATAAAAACTTACAAACTCTTTTTAATGGCCAATTAAAAAAAATAGTTGCACCTGAGGTTATTAGGCATCAATCTTGGATCCATATTTTCATCTTTTTTTTTTATTCTGGCTATTTTTAAGTACAGAAAAAAATTTAAATTAATTCATTTAAATATATGTCTACTCTTAACATAATTTTTATAGCAAGTATGATAGCACATATGCTTTAATGTTCTAGTGCAGGGCTTTTTTCTTTTTCTTTTCTAAGATTTTATTTTTAGATGTCCATCAACTGATGAGTGGATAAAGATGTGGTATATGCCTACAATGGAATATTACTCAGCCATCAAAAAGAATGAAATCTTGCCATTTGCAACGACAGAACTAGAGTGTATTACATTAAGCAAAATAACTCAGAGAAAGACAAATACAATATGATTTCATTCATATGTAGAATTTAAGAAATGAAACAGATGAACATAGGGGAAGGGAAGGAAAAATAAGATAAAAACAGAGAGGGAGCAAAGCATAAGATACTCTTAACTATAGGGAACAAACAGTTGCTGGAGGGGAGGTGGGTGAGGGATGGGGTAACTGGGTGATGGGTATTAAGGAAGGCACTTGATGTAATGAGCACTGGGTGTTATATGCAACTGATGAATCACTAAATTCTACCCCTGAAACTAATAATACACTATATGTTAACTAACCTGAATTTAAATAAAATCTAAAAAACAAAATAAAGATTTTATTTTTAAGCAATCTCTGCACCCAATGAGGGGCTTGAACTCACAACCCCGAGATCAAGAGTCGCATGCTCCACTGACTGAGCCAGCCAGGCACCCCAGCAGTGCGTTTTTCTTTTACTTTTGAGTTTGCTTCTCTTAATATCTTTTCCTCCCTTATCTACCTATAGCAGTACCCTCTCTGTACATCCTAGATCTAGAATATATACTTGAATTATCCTTGAATCTTGCTGTATTTTTATCCATACTTATTTTTCTACACTCACACAAATATACACATAGAGTATTATTTTATTGTTTTGCTAACATGGAAATCATATTATGAATACATTTTTGCATCTTGCCTTTTTAACTAAACCATACTTCATGGAAATCTTTCCAATCTATTCATGTGGCTCTTTTTCAAGAAAAATCAAACTTAAATGATCACCACCAATAGAAAAACTACTTCAAAAAATATGGCACACCTATAATGGAATTTATGCAACTATTAAAAGTAAAAATGTAATCAGAATTTATAAACATAAATAACAATTATTTCTGGATAGGATTACAGAATTTTTTTCATGTTTATAGTTTTCTAAATTTTCTAACTTTTTTTTTAACCTAGAAATGTACTACTATTAAAATAAGGGGAAAAAAAATAAGGAAAAAAACAATACAGCCATTTCCATTTAAAAGAAAATATGTTTTCTAGTTGGTAGAAGAGTTATTAAATTACATAAACAAAAAAACTAAATATAATGGCAAAAAAGAGAAAGATTTCCATTTTAAAAATAGTCAAAGGCAATGGGAGGTGTTTATAAAGAAGCAAAACATACAGAGCTTAGCTCTAAGAAAAATGCACTTCAAGTCAGCTAGAAAGAAGCACCTACTTGGAGGTTCAACTTGTAATGAAATAATACTTTAAATTGTTATTAATTCTGAATTCTAATGGTATTGAAATCATTTTTTCAGCAGCTGCTATGAATTTCTAACCTATGTAGATAATTTAGGTATTTATAATTTGTGTTTTCAGCAGAAATTATTTGACTATAAAGATTCTAGTTGAGGAAATAACTGATGATATAAATAAGCTTTATATCATCCCAGGTCATATGAATATTATCATGTAACACCATTAGTTTGAACCAAGAGAATAAATTGTTTTTCCAAATTAAAAATTACACATTTGAACCATCTGATCAAATATGCTAAGATTATGATAAAGCCTAATGAATCCTTCTGACTAATCTTTCTGATGACTTAAGATCCTTCTAGGTGAGTCAGAGAAGAGGATGCAAAGGGGGAATGCTACTTTGACAGAAGTCCTACAGTAACTTAATACAGTTTCTTTCCTAACTAACTTGTTATTTTTCTCCAACCTATTCTCTTTTTCTCCATTTCAGCTGTTTTAGGGGAGAATAAACTGAATAAGAAAGAACAATGATCTCTTTCCTACCCCTCCCCAACTTCAGTCAGAACTGAAAAATGAGAAAGAAAGACCCCATATCTGCTGCTTACCTGGCTTGAGCCCTGGATCCCATCCACAGGCTCACCGGGATCCCGACAGCACCTAGCGCTCGCTGCTCTGTTCCCTCTCTCCAGACCCTTCCTCCTCCACTACTGCACAGGCACCAGGAGCATGCACTGTCTGCCATACCCTCTTCTAGATTTTCCCTTCCAGGCCCAACAAAACGAAACCTCACAAAGAGGGGTTTCACAAAGTAGCAAACCCTGTTCTGTAATTATGAACTCTAATGAATGTTTGTATTTTTTAAAGACTTAATGTTCTCAGAGCAGTTTTACATTCACAGTAAAACTGAGGAAGGTACAGAGATTTCCCATATACACACTTTGCCTCCACACATGCATAGCCTGCTCCATTATCAATATCCCTCACTATAGCGGTACATTTGTTACGACTGAGGAACATACATTTACACATCATGATCACCCCATAGTGTATATTAGAGTTCACTCTTGGTATTATACATTCTATGGTTTAGACAAATCCTTACAATATGTAGTATACATATATAATAACACCTATCCACCATTATAGTATCATACAGTGTATCTTGCCCACCCTAAAAATTCTCTGTGCTCCTTCTAGTCATCCATACCCCTCTAACCCCTGGCAATCAATGACCCTTTATAATCTCCACAGTTTTTCCTTTTCCAGAAAGTCATATAGTTGGAATCATACAGTATGTAGACTTTCCCGATTGGCTTCTTTCTTTTAGTAATACGCATTTAAGATTCCTCCACGTCTTTTCATGACTTGATAGCTCATTTCTTTTTAGTGATGAATAATATATTACATTGTCTCAATATACCATAGTTTATCCATCAACCTGGTAAAGGACATCTTGGTTGCCTCCAAGTTTTGGCATTTATGAATAAAGCTGCTATAAACACCTATGGGTTTATGTGCAGGTTTTGTGTAAACGTAAGTTTTCAACTCCTTGGGTAAACACCAAGGAGCACAATTGCTGGACTATATGGTAAGAGTATGTTTAGTTTTATAAGAAACAGCCAAACTGTCTTCCAAAGTGGCTATAGCATTTTGTATTTCCCACCAGCAATGAATGAGGGTTCCTAGTGCTGGTGTTACCAGTGTCCCAGATGGTGGCCATTCTAGCAAGTGCAGAGTGACATTTTATTGTTTTAATTTGCATTTCCCCAATGACATATGATGTGAAGCACCTCTTCATATGCTTATTTGCCACCTGTATATCCTCTTTGTGAGGTGTCTGTTAAGGTCTTTGGCCCATTTTAAAATCAGGTTGTTCTTTTTCTTATTGTTGTGTCTGAAGAGTTCACTACATAGTTCGGGTAACAGTCCTTTAGCAGATACGTCTTTTCAAATATTTTCTATCAGTCTGTGGCTTGTCTTCTCATTCTATTGACATTGTCTTTTGTACATTGGAAATTTTTAACTTTATTTACTAATTTTCTTTAAGTTTTTACTTAAATTCCACTTAGTTAACATACAGTGTAATATTAGTTTCAGGAGAATTTAGTGATTCATCACGTACATATAACACCCACTGCTCATCACAAGTGTCCTCCTTAATCCCCATCACCCATTTAGCCCATCCCCCTGCCCATCTCCCCTCCA